TCACTGCATGGTGCATATATGTATTTGATGCCCTCTGTAATTACCATATTCTATGGTGATTCTTGCATCAATCTCCCGCTTTATACCTTATTCGTTGAATTTCATATTATATTCTTCAAGTCTGTTATGCTCTTTTACTTTCAGTTTGTTTTAGCATGGATTTAACGGCACTTGTTACTCAAATAGGTCGTATAAGCGCCGAAGATTAGAGGTGTTACAAGAGAGTAACATACACAGGAATGAACGCGGACAGAAAAGGACGGTTGATTGTTAAAAGGAAAAAAAAAGGAACAAACCACACCCAGAGCACCCGCATACCTCCTGCTTGAGTTATACATGTAAGATTGAAACTGCTTTCAATTTTAATGATTTTCCCTAGTAGCAAGTTAAAAAACTCTTTAAAGCAAAAAGAGTTATGTTTTTCTTTTGAAAATCGGACCATTATTATGGAAAATGTGCCCGTTTCTTTATTTGGATAATAGGCATCGGACTCCCGACGTCCCGTTTAAGACGTAATTAAACCGTAATTAGAATTTTTCTCTTAATGTACTTGACTTTTATTTTTATATATTGATTCTACATAAAACAACAAACAAAATGATACCTCAATATTTACGATACAACTATTATTAAGGATTTTATGACGTTTTGAAGCAAAATTTGGAAGTTTGGTGGCACAAAACGCAGAGCAAAACTTTGGCCAAATCAGAGCGAAAATAGATTTACAAAATTTAATGGTCGCTGCTTCTGAACTAACAAGGATAGCACACAAATTTAAAAAGCTCTGAGAACAGAAAGCCAAACTCTTTCCTATAGGTCTTAATTTTAGGGCCCTTGGAGAAGTTTGCAAATTTCACTGAAGTGCTTAGTTTTGCTAGGAACCACTCTCTCTGCTCAATCTCTGGCATAATAATACTAAAACCAGATATTTGAATAGATAACTTTATTGAGGCGTGATAAGTGAATCGCAAGAAACTGATGTTTGCCACAGTATAGTATACACCACGACTGAAACGTTTAATTTTGCCAAAAGACCAATGAATAATATCAGTTCACACCCATGGTCATAGCGTAAGATTATTCTAAGAACAAAAAGGATTGCATTCAGAATGTCAACAATGAAGTAGTAACAATAAAGTGCATATTATTATTAAACTATTTTCTGTAATATTTATAGTATTAGTTTTGTATTACTAATTCTGCTGCTGCTGAAGATGATGGTGGTACTACTACTGCTATTACAGTACAGCTGCTCTGCTGCAGTTAACACTAGAGTGTTCTACAATACAACAATTAAAGGAGGAGGAGGACGAAGGAGGAGGAGGAGGAGGAGGAGGAGGAGGACGAGGAAGAAGAAGAAGAAGAAGAAGAAGAAGAAGAAGAAGAAGAAGAAGAAGAAGACGGAAAGAGAGCTTGTTGTAGAGGTGCGGGCCCATAATGTAGCTGGAACTCATAATATAGATCTTTCATGTTCTTATGTCTCATCTAGATGCATAAATTAATTGACAAATCTAATCTAGTAAATCGAATCACACAAATGCTTTATATTACATGTAGATCTAACTTCATTGTTGACTATAATATTTTTCTCGATGAACACTGATAACAGTTTAAAATTCTGTCTTGTTCAAGAAAAAAAAAACCAAACCCGTACGGAACGGTCGGGATGATGCGCGGCGGGGAAGCATGTAGCCGGTTTTCGAAGACACGTGTCAACGCGTGTCGCGACGGTCTGCTGAAACCGAAGCGGCTATGTACATGGCCGGTTTGGCGATCCCATTTTTTCATCAGCTGCAGGTGGCAGGTGTCCGTTTTGGAAAGTCTCAATTAAAACATATTTCAAGGATTTTTTCAAACCTAATATTTATTGGAGACACGTATTAAATAAGCTATTTACTGTTCATTAAGCAAATAAAAAGAATTAAAACATTTTTGCATGTAGTAGCCGGTTTGTGAATCCCATCGACGATATGTCATTTATGAGCTCCAGAAGATTAGAGGTGTTACACGAGAGTAACAAACAGAAAAAAGAAGGAAGGGAGATAAAGACGATACATGTCTCATAGGAAAGAAGAAGCAAACCACACCAAAGCACCCACGAACAACCCACAACTGTAAGTGAATTGCAACCGAATCAATACAAATAACCAAAACGTGCACAACAAATTTACATTGGAAATGAAAGTCAAAAATAGCACACACCCAAAATAACAAAGAACACAACGCTATTATTACAATTTTATTGGCCCTCAGTTTAATCACTTTCAATGTATTGAAGTTGAAAAATAATCCCTCAATTTCCAGAACGGCTGTACAAAACCTTAGTATTGAGTCAGTGACATCATGAAAACACAAATATACGACAAGCCCTCAGGATGACAAGCTGCTATCTGTGGTCTCCATATATATATATATTATATTATGTATCACCATTTCCAAGGCCAGGACTTTTAACAAATTGACAATAAACGTTAAAATTTCTAGCTTTCTTTGCAGAGAAATATAATAATAATCATCAAATAAAATTCCAACAGACTAACCAGCAACATGACAACCACTTGACGGGTAGAGTAGGGCATGGGTTCTCACTCTGCAAAAATTCAGCTTCCCCGAAAAATCCTCCCACAGCAAAATCTAAAAAATCTAAAAAATCTCTTGACTCTACGAGGAGTTGACATCAATCAGACGAGACCCCCCCAAAAAAAAATGTTGGCAAAAACAGCCCACCACCTGCTACTACAACTAATTCTATAGTACTACCGTATTCACTGTCGGGGAGCTGTCTGTCTGTGTGGTCAACAAGTACACAACTGTCAATGTTGGGATTTCACCTATAACTGATTGGACGAGGTGATGGTACACTTGAAGTTGAAGCAAACCAGATGATGCAGACCACACTTAATCCAGTGCTTCCACCAGCTGAAGCTGAAAAGTAAGGAAAATTCTGCACGGGGTCTGGGGGCCTCTAGAGGCCCCCTAGCAGGGTCCAGGGACAGCGTCCCAGTGGGGGTTCTGGGGGCGAAGCCCCCGAAGAAATTGAAATTTAGTGCTTTTAGAGGGTAGAAAATGGCATTTGGGAGCCTGTTTGAAGATATTGCCTACAGCCCATAATATTTATTTTTTCACCAACATTTTGTCTTGTTTGACTTCATCGCCATATCTTTCCAATGCTGGAAATGTTTAAAAGCAGGTTCCCCTTTCATTGCTACTATAATTCAATTAATTTGTAGTCGCACCATGGACAGCAGGCAAACCTGGGAATAATGAATAGATGTACCTTCAAAATATGGTTGCGCAGCGTATACCCACATTTCTTCTAAATTTTCATGTCTGAAAGTCGCCTGTCACAACCTCGGAACACCACTTCGAATTATTCTTGATTTTATACGTGGTGCTCACTATGGACGGGGCAATCGGCCGATCCCATCCGTAGTGGGCATGACCGTATCAGCATATATTTCTTTCATCGCAGCCCTTTTATTGCGTTCACGTGCCGTAGAATATTCGCATTGAGAATTTCTCTAGATCTAGATAAAATTTGCGAAAAAAGTTTCTTTCCCACAGTAATTTTCGGTCTAAGATCAAAATCAGTCTTGATCAACGCACAGATTTTCCAGTCGCAGCAATAATCCGAAGATAGACAGAAGGAATGAGTGAATGACAGAAAGGAGGAAGTTGGCACAAAAGGTTTGCCAGATTTTGATCCATCTGCAGGTAAAAAATGTACTGCTGACCAACACGCAATGAATGCATGGGACTGGGACATAGCGGTATAATGTCCGATTGCAGGAAATGCGCAATTTGGCAGGTTTCTATAACATTAAATTGTTGCCGAGAGAACTACCGTAAATATCCGTACCTTATACAAGACAATACGAAGGCGAGTACGGAATTTCGGCAGTCCTGCACTGTCGCAGTTTTTTTTACGGAGGGAGTAGATAATGATGGAGGGACAAGTACTGAACTGGCAGAAAGTACGGATTTCCGTAAAAATACGGAAGAGTGGAAGCACTGTTAATCATTCATCGACCACCTGCAAACTGAATTCTGAATTCAGGGGGGGGGGGGGGGGGTAACCACCTCGAGATGGGAGCTTGTCATCCTCAGGGCAAGCAACAAATCTTGTCTCTCTCGTCCAGTGACAGTAGAAGAATATATAGAGAACTAAGAAGAATAAAGGTTAGAAGCATGGGAGGCATTACTAAAGCAATACTAGATGGAATAAAACGACGGGTTAAACACACACGGTGTGACACAGGCCTAACTAACTGATTTCTTCACCTGCTGGATACATTTAATTAGTTAAAGACCACTCGCGAGTTTTCAGAGGGGGGGGGGGGGGGGGGGTTTAAAACTTGTACAGTTTACCACTACTCTTTCCCTCCCCTCATCAGGCTGGCAGCGTGACATCAAAGATCATACATAACAAGATGGTCCACTAAGCAAAAAAAGTGTCCACCGAAAGTCCGCTCATTGCTTCAGATGGCGCTGCAGTCTTTGTTTTGAAGATCTTTCATTTCTCCAGAATAAGAATAGGAATAACACCACCTTACGTGCGCAGATCGACTGCTGTTCGGTTCGTTCAGAGCGGAGTTTTAGTTTTTTTCATTCTAATGTCCTCTCGCCTTTCATTCTAAAGTCAAATTAAACGAAGAAAACAGCCGCTTCTTCCGGAACGGTTTTTTTTTGTAAGCGTAACCATTTTTTAAAAGTGTTCTTCCAAAATTTGAATTCTTATTTATTCAAAAACTTGTTAGTTTCACTTTGATTTTTTCCACACAAGTAGGGTGTGCATTTGCGAAGAGGGCGCCACCGAATTTTGAGGACACTTGTTTAATTGGCTCAAAGAGAGGAGTGGACCCTCTTGTTATGTACGATCATTGGTTACATGCACACAAAGGTCAAGACAAAGATCAAGTTAGCGTGGGTGAAACGGCGTCACCACAGACTCACACATCAAACCTTTTCTGTTTCAAACTCGCGAGTGTAAAGCATTGATAATATATTGGGACTATTTATTACCAAACGTTTGAGGGAATATCAGGAGAATATTTTGTTCACCATGTTCAGTTGCAGTTACCTACAGTGGTGAGCTTGTAACAGCAACAATAAAAGTAAAAAGATCCATATATTTGAAATAAAAAGTACCTGCTGAAGAGCAAGTGTACAAAAACCAGGCCATAACAAAAAGTACAAGGCAAAACAGAAATAACAATTCAAGTAAGCCCTTCAAGGAGCAGCGGTGAAAAAGTCTATGCTTTTCTCAAAAAGTCGACGCTTGGAACTGGAATGGTCTCAAGAGTGAACTCCCATAATGACAACACGCACAAGTTCAAGCAACAAACATACGACTAATTTGATAAATATATATAGGTACGTATATATATATGTTCTTGCAAGAGAAACGGGAGAATCTACTACACTATTTATATATGGATGCAGTTTTTTTCCGCCCTAATTTCCCCCAAAATTTTTAGCAATAGGTTTAAAAATCCCCCCAAAACTCAAACCAAATTTCTTCCTCGTCATTTGCGCAGTTTCTGTATCATGCACACACAACACAGAATATAGCAGACACTTTGGATTTTAAGAACAAACACATAGACAATAGGTGGACCACTCACGATGACACTTCACATTTCACCAACGAACCAATGATGAGAAGAATCTGATCACCTGACAACTTCATAAACACAGACTGGATCAGGATAATGTAGGAGTTTGCATAAGAAAATGGTTGCGAGTGCCATTTGGTCATATCAGGTCATTCATCAACAATGAGGCCCGTAGTTTTGACCATGGCATAGCAACACAAATTATCACCAATATTCTGATTTGATCACAAAATGATGCATACAAGACATGAAAAGCATATGGCTGGGGACAGAGCAAAAAAACAAAACAACCCAAAACAAAACTGTAGTCACATCTTAGAGGATGGTATATGGTATGTTTAAAAAAAAAGTAAAAAAGGGGATGTTGTGATGCAGTGATAAATGGGTACTCATAAAGCATAGAACTATTGATCTTCTGTGACAGGAAAGAATCAGTATTATTATACCAGCAGCAACCCAATACTCACACTAGGGGCGAGTCAAACCAGAAAACAGAAACGGCAAAAGACTTGAAAAAAAAAACCCGCACAGAAAAAGCTCATTATTTTGAGGGCCCATAAAATCAAAATGCTTCATCAGAAACAATACAGGGTTGTTGATGAGTTGAACACTATCATGTCACCAACAACGATTCTTCTGACAGAGCAATCTCCTCTCAAAACAAAAAAAACCAAACTTGCTGGACCGAGATAAATATGCGACAAGAAACCATTGTGCCGCAGTGTTCTCGGCCCTTGGGTAGTAGTCTTGTGACCATCAGCTGCGGCTGACCCTGGTGACCCCCCCCCCCCCCCTCCTATCAGAGAGATCAGCGCTCTGACACGGCGTGACCACAAGTACTTGCGCTACATCGGGGCAGCCGGAAAATTTTCCACAAAACTAGAAAATGGCTCTCAAATGTTAAGAAAGTTGCAAACAGAACGGGTGTGAATGCTACAGACAAGCACTTTGAGAAAGACCTACCGTCATTCGTTCATCAGATATAATAATATATATAAGTTCCAAATTCCACAAACTAAACCAACTAGTAATTCTACGTAAAAGAGGCCAAGTTCTCTAGTCTTCCAATCTCAATATAAGGTAACACAAAGGCAAGTAAAGCACTTACTGGGCACACCAGGGGACTCACAAACATACTCAAAACTCAAAGCATCATCTCCCACAAAACTCCAGTCCACAATCATAAAAACTGCCCTCGGGAAAAAATCATATGATAAACACACTCATGATATAATATAAGAGGAATTTGGTACATGTACAACCTTGAGGATATAAATATTTACAAATATTCATTAACTAGTCATCATCATCATCACTGATAGGAACATGTGCACCATACATCAGAAACATAGGCAAAGAGTCAACAAGATGAAATGTTAAAAAAAAATCTCCAACAAGAACCCCCCCCCCCCGACACTTTTTGCCATCATTTCTGTGAGAGTCCTGTCTTGGCGTGTGTGCCACTCACCAATCCAACGGTCTACTCGGTACCTCGGAGCTGAGGCACATCCCACAATCTTTTAAACTTAATATTTGTCCGGTGCTCTCACAGCCCCGCTTCCCTATACAAACCCTGTCAGTTACCAAAGAGGGGGGAAAAAAAGCGTTGTTTTCCACTCCCAGAAATATTGACCTTCATCCTCGTTGACCTATCCAGAGTCTACGGAAAAACACCATGTCCCCCAGGGAGCTTTGTCAGTTTTCTGGAAAGTTTTATACGAAAAAAACAACAACAAACAAACAGAAAACATTTCAAATGTATGTATCACCAATTGTGAGCACTCTTTACAAGCACAACACACACACACACATACATACACACACCCTCCTTTCATCTCCCCACTTTGAGCTACGACACTTGGACAATCACCGACACAGACACACACTGACATACACTGTCACGTCGCAAAGCAAAAGCAAGCGAGTACTCGGAGACATCCAGTGTGAGAGCACATCGAGTGCAGACCAATAACAATGTGACTGTAGTGACAACTCCATGACGAAGAGTTAACAATGAGCAAGAGGGCGGGGCAAACCTTTCACACCACAACATTCCACAATTGTACCAAAAATTGTCTGCATCTTTAACAGCACTGGGTTTGGTTTCTCAAAAGTCATTCTAACAAGAAGACAAGAAATGCACAATGCAAAGTCACTTTTCTAACCAAAAATGTTCGTACTGGTACCCAGAGTTCAGACCCTTTGTGAAAATCAAATTTAACAGTGGCTGTATGGAATGCATCATCTCATACCCTTTTCCCCCTCACGTAACGTGCAATGAACCATCTGCCTTCATGTCTGAATGACCCTTTTCTGAACACTTTTTTATTCACTTTGCACAGGTTTTTTTTCTCCTCCTCTGTTTCCATTGGGTCCTAGCAAAAAGCCAGATCAGACCTGATGCACACAGGTAGCACAGTAGAGTTGTCTTCCTCTTTCCTCATATCAGATAGCTTTTCATTTTCTGGGTTTTCTGATCTTCTTGTCATGACACAATATGTAGCCTCCCAACCAGAAGATTGTGAACATACCTCGCTACTGCTTCAAGTGCACAAAATGTCTTTGTTGCAGCAAACCTTTTACGGCACTTGCAACACTATCAGGTTATCAAAGTGCAGACGATTAGAGGTGTTACAAGAGAGTAACAAACAAAAAAAAAAAAGCAGGAGAGATAAGGAGACAAGGACGATAGACGTTTGACGGGAAAGAACGAGCAAACTAAACCCACGCACCCACCAACCACCCACCAAAAAAAAAAAAGTCTTTACTCTCTATCACCAATCAGCTTTCCTAAATGGAGACATGAAAGAAAATGGTAGTCTAAACACTACGTCCGCCCGCTGCATGAAAACATAAAGCCAACATAAAGCCACTTCTAGATCAAAACAGCCTAGCATCTACATAGTAGCAGGACATGGCACCAACAAATACTTCTGACAACACCACAACCACACAAACACGTGGATTTAATCACACTGCATCCATACAACTATGTGGATTTAACCACACAAACACATGGATTTAACCACATCACACCCACAAACACGTGGGGAAAATAAAATGTATTCAAAGGAACACCCAAGGCTAACAAAACACGTCCCCCCAATTGGCTACGATAGAAAAAAATAAATAGTCACACACCCCTAGCACGTCACGCACCAGTCAGCTCGCGAACCAAACAATAATAATATCCCGGCAGAACCTTAATCCACTTTTACGACGCTGTAGATTTTGGAGACAAACCAGAAGCAGGCGAAGAAGCCGATGGAACCTGAGGGGGGGGGGAGACACAAACAAGAAGCATGATATGATTAACTGTCACAGGGAATCTTAATACAACATCAGTACCTATGGGTTTCTAAAATATTTTAGTAAGAGATTTGCGGCACTTGCAACATAATTAAGTCATAATGAAAACTAATGAAAGAACATCATAATATGCATAAGCATCAGAGTTTTTTAGGTTTTTTTTTTAAAAGGTGGGGGAGGGAGGTGGGAAGAGAGAGAGAGAGGGAGGGTGGGGGCACAAATAATAAAATTCCAGCAGAGAAAAGCATACAGACACAACAATGGCCATGTAGTGCAAGGAAAGAATAAGAGACAGACACAAGCAACATTCACCCAGAAAGTAAAAAAACAAAAACAACAACAACAAATAAAAAAACCAAAACAAAAAATAGTAGGATCTGACAGTGACACCCCCCCCCACAACCACCAGTTTCCCCATACCACCAAGCTGGCTTACCTGTGAGCAAAAAGAACAAAAACACGATCATGGCGGTGTAACCGAAGTAGAGGAAGGTGTTGGTGAACCCGCTCATCTCCAGTTTGGTGAAGAAGTAGTGGATGCAGTAGAAGAAGAAGTAGATGGCGGTGAAGCCACTTGTCAGGAACGACCTCCACCACCAGTGGTAGTCCTGGGAAATAGAATGAAAGAAAGAAAGAAAAAAAAAATGTTACCACTTATAAAGTATGCTTCACCAGAAATGTACGCTTCCCCAGGAAGTTGAAATTGTTTCAGAATGTTATAAAGTCTGCTGAGGTAATAATATAGATTGTAAAGCACATAGTGTTTGCTGTTGAGCGGGAATTTGCGCTATACAAATGCTATGTATTATAATTAATGCCTGATCCCCCCAAAAAAAGAAAAAAGAAAATAGAAAAAATTGTTACACATAATGCCTCCAAAACAAAACGGAAAGAAAAGAGGAAAAATACTTGTTAGGACAAGAAATTGTTTTTGCTAGGTATGAATTTCATTATATGAATGTATTTAACTCTCACCTCGACAAATTTACCCCCACCCCCCCTCCCACACACACACACTTACATAGACAAAGTGACTTGCCTCAGCACACAGGTGGAAATAACACATCAGGACGGTGGCCTTGCTGCAGATGGTGATCACACACACACACACGCACAGAATGACTTACCTCAGCACAAAGGTGAAAGTAACAGAGCAGCATGGTGGCCTCGCTGCTGGTGATGATCAGAACGATGAACACACACTCACACGCACACACACACCCACAGAATGACTTACTTCAGCACACAGGTGAAAGTAACAGAGCAGCATGGTGGCCTCGCTGCAGGTGATGATCAGAATGATGAACACACACACACACGCACACAGAATGACTTACCTCAGCACACAGGTGGAAGTAACAGAGCAGCACGGTGGCCTCGCTGCAGGTGATGATCAGAATGATGAACACGAGGAAAAGGAAGCCAAACATGTAGTACGTCTGGTGGGACCTGCACCACAACAACAACACAAACACAATGCCATTATCACCACCATCCTCATTATAAGAAATAAAAAATAGCAATAGTAAAAATAATAATAACGCTAATAATAATAAAAATAATAATA